CGAGCCCTGGGATCTGCATCTGCTACTGCAAAGGTGAAAACCGTTTCAACAGTATGTTTTCCGGACAAACAAAGCAGTGAACAATGTGTACTATTTGAGGGTATTCAACAGGGATGTCTCACGAGTCACGACACATGGACAACCAGCCAGTCACACAGTCGCATCTCGATGCTTTGCAGTGTTACTTGAAGAAGTCTGTTTTTTATGAGAGAATCTGTAGGCTCGTTACAGAGTTGATTCGTAACTTTGAATCCCCCCCGGTCCACAGGTGACTCCCCGCATCCCTTTATCCACAAGTTCCCCACTAAAGGTTGATGCAGTAGTTTCTCTTTTATTTCGGTTTGTGTATGTTCTGGAGGGAAATCTCCCTCTAGATTCTGATTAACGATGTCCGGTATAGAAGGGGGTTGGACTTTCCGAGGGTGTTGAGCAACACAGCCATCTCTTCTCCCAGTCGTTGGGCTCCACCTTGTGTTCATGGTCCAGAATAGGTCCTTACAAGGTGGATTATGGCGTGTTGGTGCGGACAATCAGCAGGGAAGGGACGAGGTTGGGGCTGAACTTCTGATGCTGTCCCTTGCCTTGTTGCCGCAAGGTAGGTCGGGTTTTGTGAGAGGCAACAGTACCTACGTCATTTTTAAGCGTCAATGCGGTGGATGAATCGATGCGCCGCGTGGGTGTATATATCCTTTCACGACAGAGGGGGCCTAAGACCCCTGAGGTACTGGTGGTTTAATTTGCAGAGCTTCATTTCTTATTTTGGATCTAGGATTCCCAAACCCCCTCAGACTTTTTCCGTATGATAAAGCGCCAAGCTAACTTGGGGAGGTAATTCTCCGTGATGATCACCTGACCACATGTATGCTTTAGATCCGGTAGAGTTGGGAAATGAACCATCCGGATAGTTCATGTTGAGGCTATATAGTATATACCAGATTATGGAGAATATCGAGGTGTTGATGGCAGTAGCATGTCCTACCGTCTTCCCCTGAATACAACGCACGGTCATTATAGTTGTATTTGACGCATCTTTCAGTCTAGATACAGATATAATGACTGTATGTTGTATCGGGGGAAGAAGGTAGTAGCGAGGTAAAGGTTTGACCCCATCTTCACATTCTATTGGTAATTACTAATTTGGTATTGTGCGAGAGGAGGTTATCGTTGGGGGTTTCTAACCCCATGTTCCCATTTGATGGGCTAGTATGTCATCCCTTCGTTTATACACTCCTAAAAGCAATAGCAGTCCTCGCGTGATGCTTCATGCGGGCCCAACAAAAAAATGAATGGGAGGTGGCACCTGTGGGGCGTGCGCCTTTTGGGAAGTTGCAATTTTTTAAATTATTTTTTTTGTGGGCGGGGCGGCACAGGTTGCCTGCAGACACATACGGGACCCCTTTCTTTTTTTTTTCCTTTTGTTTCCTGTTTCTCTGTGGCGTCATTTCCTTCACAGGGGCTCGCTTCACTACTGGCGGTGTATCTTTCCATGTTCTAGCGGAAGATTCCTCCTCATTTTGCACGTGTTGTTTTCCTGTTTCTCTGTGCGTCGTTTCGTTCGGCCTCGATCCACTACTCAGTACATGCATAAAAGTGCAATGTGCCCAGTCGTGATAATCAGTCGTCACTCGCAAAGACAAAATAGACGAACGCTGCTGCTGATAAATCATAATAATAATGATCCCAAATGAGAGAGAATGCATACACAGACGAGAGAGGGAGGAGGGAGAATAGACTTTGAGAGGGTGGAAGAGTCTCCGCCCTACAGCCCACTTCCTCTTCGGGCACTTCCTCCTCCTAGCAGCATAATCGTGTCTCAATCAGAGATCCGGACATCCAAGACACTGTAGACCAATAGTGCCACGTAGCACCAACAGACCAGTCATCAAGCAGCAACGTGACGACGAAGTTGAAGACACCAGGTACGTATCACGACCCAAACCACAGTCCTGAATCCTTCTTCCGAATACTTGTCAAGCAGAACAGCAATACAGGCGCCCAGNAGGTACGTATCACGACCCAAACCACAGTCCTGAATCCTTCTTCCGAATACTTGTCAAGCAGAACAGCAATACAGGCGCCCAGCGCCTTCTATCTCAGCAGCAATACTACGTGGCAGCAGCCACGAAGATGACACGTGGCATCTGCCATGTCGACAACCCCTCAGACAATAGTGCGCCAGCCAGCATGCTGGTCGCACAGCACACTCAAGCCACGAACCAGCGACGAGCGCCGGTCGTCAAGTTCTCCCCGCAGCGTCTCGCCAGCAAGACAGCATAGAGCCGGCGTTGATGCGAGAGCGTCGAGTCCCCATAGACTCGAGACGAGAGTCTAGATGTCAAATCCAGGAAGTCAGCCCAATATGTAGTGTTGACGGCGGGGTCTGGGCCCCAGTCCTCACGTCAGACACGGTCGAGATCGATTGTCGTCGACGGCCTGGATTGGGTTGAAACTGTATCCTCCTTGGTCCACCGTTCTGACTGGGTACCTGCACACATACAAGTCGATGCACACGACCAAGGGCCTGGGCGAGGTACCTGGACCTACAGTTCACTTTGACCTTTGAATTTCTTGCTGTGCGCGGTCACACAGCACCCACAGCGGCCTGAGGCCGAGCAGCGCGTGGTTGCACTGCTCGCTGGGCCTGGGCTTGGGTTACAGCGCCCAGGCCGCTGCTGAACGCGGTTTACTGCAAAAGACAAAAAATATGGTGGTGTATCTTTCCATGTTCTAGCTGAAGATTGATTTTCATTTTGCACGTGTTGAGCACAATGAGTAGTGGAGAGAGGCCCATCGTTTTGTCGTTTTGTACAGAGCAAGGTCTGAGCAAAATGAGAGTGAATCTTCTGCTAGAACATGGAAAGATACACGGCCATGTTTTTTGAAGTTTTGGCCTGTGGTGAGTGGTGGAGAGAGGCCCTATGAATCCGGATTGTTGGGGGCGTCGTTGGCAGGAATGCTCGGACAGCGAGGCCCATAGTCAGACACATGCACTTAGACTCGTAGAGGAGCCTTCCCCCCTCCCCTTTTGGCCGGAGTGATGTTTGAATACAAGTACATACCCGGACCGACTATGGCCTGGCTCGACTACGTACCATTGCCCGCGTATTGTGGCCTGGCGTGTGTGGTACCGCCTGCGATATGTTTTTCTTTTCCCAATTGTGGTCCTCGCCGCATGTGCGGCGGGCATGTTAGTTACTAAAATTCTGAGGTACCTGTTGGGGGTTTCTGGCTGTTCACAGATGATTTGGCTTTCCGGGCCATCCATCTGGGGGAGATGATGTTCCGAGTCTTCTGACAACTACCATCCTATTGTTTTGCCCCATTTTACATTCATGTCTGTGCCTCGGGCGGAATCCCTCTATTGGCCTTGCCAGCACCCAGAAAGAGTAGTCAAATGCACATGTGTGAAGAGAATGACTGCGGGAAAAAAATCCAATGCGTCGATAGAGGGCCGTGGAGTGTGAACTCTTTGTTTGTATTCCGGGCCTACTTCTTTGAAACTAAGAAAGGACCTCGTCCCCTTCCCCCATTACCCCATGCCTGACCAACGTGCCTGCCAAGTGGCCAAATAATATGCATGCACTATACCATCACTTGCTGTTGGACCCCTCATCCATGTAACTCCATTAAGCTGCACGGTCGACGCATTGTTTCTAGAAATTCTAGGTGAGCAATCGAACTTGACAGCTGGCTGGGCTATTGCCTGACCAATTCTGATTAGGCTCTGACCGACTCTGATTAGGCAGTTGTGGTGAAGCATAGCCTCGTAGGAATGCGGAGGACTTGGCTCTGTCCCAAGGACGATGTGGTGGATAAATCCACTAGGGCTATGCGGCAACCAGTGTTCAGCTACAGGTAAAAAACAGATATATGTAACCACGGGATGTAAGCAACTTGTTCGCACAATACTTCAAAGTTGGAGCTCTAAAATTTATCTTGCCCTCCATTGTGGGTGAGGATTCGTGATGGCTTTCGGTCCACCAAATGATGGACACAGTAACATTTAGTAGTTATGGCTTAACAAAAGAGAGAGGGGGGGGGGAGGAGGGGAATTGTGAGGTACATTAGCACACATGATCGCTTTAGATTTTCAAATTTACTGTATGCGCAAGAGACATCATAAATTTAGCTCGGGAGCTTTGGATTGAACCTCTCCTTACCAGATTGGTTGGTTTTCTAAACTCATGAAGAGAAGCTTCGGTTTGGATAACATGCTGTTTTGTGCAGGTCGATGAGCTTGTGAAGGCAATAAAGGAATTCATGGGCAATGATGTATGGAAGGCTGAGGGTATGTCAAAGATCATCAACGTGCGGCACATGGACAGGTTGGCGAACATGATGAAAGATGCCACAGCAACAAACCTCCCAGGAACAATCGTTTATGGAGGGGTTTTTGATAAAGAAAGGAGGTAAGTGGGAAGTGGATCTAGGCTCACCTAGCTCAATTCATGACTGGTTGGAACAAGCACTGACTTGAAGTGCGTGGGTTAGGGAAAGAGCAGGAGGATCATATCATGTGCACATAGGACTAGAACTGGGCAGCATCTCTCTCTCTCTCTCTCTCTCTCTCTCTCTCTCTCTCTCTCTCTCTCTCTCTCTCTCTCTCTC